TAACGCCCCCGCCCCCCATAGCGACAAACCGTGGTGCCGAACGCTCTGTTCGGCAGTGCTGGGGGCGCTCTGGGAGGGGGGGCGGAGCATGGCGCCGTGGGTTTGGGGGGCGAGTTCTGGCCCAGAGGGTGCAACAAAAACCCTCCCCGCGGACACCTCCAGGGGTGCGTTCTGGCAGAGGTTCGAGGGCGAATGCTTCAGCCGCGGCGAGGAGAAGTCTGGAAGGGCACCAGCTGGAAGGGCACCCGTACTGTACGTTCCCACACAAAATCACATCCGACCGCACCACGCACGGGGTCCATCCTTGCCGTCTTTTGCCGCAAGTCCCAGGGAATGAAGCCAGTCTCCAAGCGAAAACGGCGCCGAACATGACGGAGACACACAGGTCCTCAAACGTCCTCGTTCAAGTCCATCCTCGGTGACGGAGAACCCCAGAAAATAGAGTATGCCCCTCCCCCTTTGCCTCTGAGAGCCGATGATCGTGAGCCAAAACAGAATTGGTCGGATGAGAAGGGGCGGGGAGGCCCAACTTCATTATCGCCAGCAATACTACAAATCGAAGTCCGAAACTCCTACTCCCCCCCTCCAGGGCATCGTTGTACAATACTAAGCTGCCAGGATGACAGATAAACTATCCCCCCCGAGCCCCGAACATCATTATCCCCACTTTGTGACTATCAGTGGTAAAGAGTTATCAGGATGCTTTCTTCCAGAAGCCTGCACGGACCTCGAAAGGTTGATGCTCTTCGGACAAAACAAACCACGCAGACCCTGTGACTCCCTGCGCCAGGGGGACGTGCGATGGGGGTGCGATAGACCTCGATCGGGGTGCGTCCGAATAGACCTCCAATGGTGTATCCTCACGTCGGACATGTCCCTGTACAGGAGGAGCAGTCAAGAATGATGAAACATAGGTCTGGGGACGATCGTTCGTTCTCTTTTGATCATGCTGGATTCTACTTGGGCTGCTTTCCTTTTCATTCCACCATCTGCCTGTAGGAAGACATGCCCGGGGGCGGGAGACTGCCCGCGGATCTGCGCTTCCCCCCCCCCGCCGCCCTCCCGCCCCCGGCCGGCATGCTGGAAGCGGGCCTGGGATATACAGGGCAATTTTTGAGACATAGGATTTTAAACAATATAGGATGTTTAATACGTGATTACATTGTGAATAAATTCATGCGTGAACACAACGTTGTTTTTCCCCACATCCTAAGTGGGGTTCTTGTTTTCTCTGCGCACCCTCCGCGCAGGATCTCTCCTCCTCCTCCTCCCTCTCCTCTGCTCCTCTTTGCTTCCTCCTCCGCATCATCATCACCATCACCATCACTCCCCACTCATCATCATCACCATCAGCATCACCATCACCATCCCACGATCACTCACCATCATCGGCATCGAGCGATCATCATCATCATCATCATCATCATCATCATCATCATCATCATCATCATCATCATCATCATCATCATCATCATCACTACTCGCTGACTTGAGGCCTGAATATGGAGGAAGTATCAGGCGGGAGCCTCGTCTGTGAGTGAATTGTGAGGAAGTCTCAGGCGGGAGCCCCCTCCCTATGGGGCCCGCACTTCATGTGCGAATCCGAGCGGGTCATCCGCAACGTGCAACTGTCGTCACTTTTGGGCTCTTGAGACCTGAATATGGAGGAAGTATCAGGCGGGAGCCTCGTCTGTGACTGAATTGCGACGAAGTCTCAGGCGGGAGCCCCCTCCCTATGCGGCCCGCACTTCATGTTCGAATCCGAGCGGATCATCCGAAACGTGTAACTGTCATCATTTTTGGGCTCTTGAGGCTTGAATATGGAGGAAGTATCAGGCGGGAACCTCGTCTGTGCGTGAATTGTGAGGAAGTCTCAGGCGGGAGCCCCCTCCCTATGGGGCCCGCACTTCATGTGCGAATCCGAGCGGGTCATCCGCAACGTGCAACTGTCCTCACTCTTGGGCTCTTGAAACCTGAATATGGAGGAAGTATCAGGCGGGAGCCTCGTCTGTGACTGAATTGCGACGAAGTCTCAAGCGGGAGCCCCCTCCCTATGCGGCCCGCGCTTCATGTTCGAATCCGAGCGGGTCATCCGAAACGTGTAACTGTCATCATTTCTGGGCTCTTGAGGCTTGAATATGGAGGACGTATCAGGCGGGAGCCTCGTCTGTGAGTGAATTGTGAGGAAGTCTCAGGCGGGAGCCCCCTCCCTATGGGGCCCGCACTTCATGTTCGAATCCGAGCGGGTCATCCGCAATGTGCAACTGTCATCAGTTTTGGGCTCTTGAAGCCTGAATATGAAGGAAGTCTCGAGCGGGAGCCTCGTCTGTGAGTGAATTGCGAGGAAGTCTCAGGCGGGAGCCCCCTCCCTATGCGGCCCGCACTTCATGCTCGAATCCGAGCGGGTCATCCGAAACGTGTAACTGTCGTCACTTTGGGGCTCTTGAGGCCGGAATATAGAGGAAGTATAAGGCGGGAGCCTCGTCTGTGAGTGAATTGTGAGGAAGTCTCAGGCGGGAGCCCCCTCCCTATGGGGCCCGCACTTCATGTTCGAATCCGAGCGGGTCATCCGCAACGTGCAACTGTCGTCACTGTTGGGCTCTTGAGACCTGAATATGGAGGAAGTCTCGAGCGGGAGCCTCGTCTGTGAGTGAATTGTGAGGAAATCTCAGGCGGGAGCCCCCTCCCTATGGGGCCCGCACTTCATGTTCGAATCCGAGCGGGTCATCCGCAACGTGCAACTGTCGTCACTTTTGGGCTCTTGAGACCTGAATATGGAGGAAGTCTCGAGCGGGAGCCTACGGCCCAGCCCGAAGGTTTGTCCCGACGGCTTCGCGATCTAGCCGTCGGCAGACGCGCGCGCGCTGGCCGAGGCGGCGACGGCGCTGAGGAAAATGGATTTGCTTGCCCCGACGAGGGGGAAGGGGAGGTGCACATGGAGAAAAGGCAGGGGGATGAGGAGGGAAGGGGCATGGGGGAGGCCGACGACGAGGAGGTGGCGCGAGAGGAGGAGGGGGAGGAGGAGGAGGAGGAGGAGAAGGAGGAGGAGAAAGAGGAGGAGGAAGAGAAATAGAAGGGGGAAGAGAGGGCAGTGCAGGGGGCCAGAGGAGAGGGTGTCCGCCAGAAGGAGGAGGAGGAAAGGGCAAAGGGTAAGCTAAACAGATTCTCATGTGGGGTCCTACCGTCGGAGTAATTAACACTGAATCCCTGCATTTCTAATACATGATCCGCACGCGGAGCATGTATAAAAAAACGGCACTGTACCCAAAGGTTTTGGGCAGGTCGGCCCCCCACGGCCTGGGGAGGGCCCCGAGAGCGCAGAAGCGGGGATCAGGTCGGGCATGCCCGCTTACAGTCAAAACGTTTATCAAGGACGGGTGGTAAGGACGCAGGACCCTTGGAGGCCGACGTTGGATGTTTGGGGCGGGGGGCGGCCGGTGAAAACGGCGAAGGACGGGCCGCAGAGGCAAGGACTCAAGGGTACCCTAGATGAAGGCACGCGTGCTTACTAGGCGCGTTGACTGTACAGGCGGATCTTGGAAGAAACACAACCAATAACAGACACGTAATCCAAAAAGTAGTCGAAAAAGAGCACGACACATCGCCGCGAGACGATGTCTGCACCATTCTTGGATACCCCTCCTGGAAGGGGACATGCCCGACTCAAGACTGGGAGAACTACTGGGACCCGTTTCCCTCGGGACCCGTCTGCTTCATGGCGAACGATGTTTCCATCTGGTTTTCGGGTGATGGCTCGAGCCTCCAGCGGCCGTTCGGGGCCATCCAGGCATGCATCCCTTGAATGCGCCTGACGAGGCGCAGCTGCTGGGGAGCACCCCGATGGAGGAAAACCGGCGGGAATCGGCAAAACATCAGAGCAATTCGAAAACCTCGAACATTGGATTTTTGCCACACCCTTCCAAGACCCGAGCTCCACAGCAGCCTGCCCGCGCCAGAGACGCAACCCTCGAAGCGGCGCCTGAGCGCGTCCGGGTCGCTCATGCCCAGGCGCTCGCAGCAGTCGAGACCGAAGCTGCCCCTCAGGGCGGCCGCCAACTCGGCGGGTGCGTCCTCCGAGGTGGAGGAGGGGGAAGGGGGGGGGAGGGGGGAGGGGGGAGCAGAAGGGAGGGCGGGGCAAATGTCCGAAGTGGATGGCGTACCCGTACCATTGCCGCTGGCCCTACATCGTCGCCACGGCTGGGTTCGCCTCGACAGTCTGGTCAGAAGGCATCTCAAGAAAGGTCTGGTGGGCCGAGGAAGAAAAGGAGGAGGAAACATGGATAGAGGCGGGACCAGAGATGGAGGGAGAAAGCGCACCCGTTCGGACCAAGCCTGGCCCAGGCCTCACACCGTGCCTCGCAAGGCGGGAAGCACAGGTGGTGTGCGACCCATCTCGGTCGAAAAAAAGGGACCCCAACTAGCAAGCAAAAAAGGTACGTACGTGGTGAACGGGCCGCTCGACGGCCCGTCAGCACACCCTGGAAGGGGGGAACAAAACAGATAGGCGTCGGCTGCTAGCGCGCATTGGCATGCGCGACCCGGTGCATCAGTCAACCGCGTCGCCGCTTTAAGGCACCCCCCGCGGCGGCTCAGGCGGTGACAGCTGCGGAGCAGATGCAGCACTCTGGAGGGGAGAGGGCGCGCGCACTGCTGCACGGAGCGGTGATGGCACCAGGGCGCGCCCGGAGGTTTCCCTGGAGCGGCACCCAAGAGAAGAGCGGCAGGGCGGCAGGCCTGCCGGGGGCCACTCCAGGCGGCCTGCGTGCGGTGGAACCTGTCCATCGAGGAAGCAGGCTCCCCCTCCTCCTCCTCCTCCTCCTCCTCCTCCTCCTCCTCCTCCTCCTCCTCCTCCCTCCTCCCTCCTCCTCCTCCCTTTTCTCAAGCTGGAACTCATGCTTGCGGCTGCGCGCTATGGGTCAACCTTACCACGCCCGTTTTTCCCAATGCCAAAGGCATTCCCACTTTCCCTATTAAGTCTCACAATGTGCGTATTGTACACCAAGACCCGCGCATTATCGCGGCCGTCATCAGTCAGAACGGCCTACGCTTCAGCATCCTCGTGGCACACGCTCATCATTCCGGGCGTCCTCTCCACGAGCAGGCCGCATGGTGGCAGCACCTTAGACACGTGCACGACCATATTTTACCGCAGCCCACTCCTACTCTTGTCCCTATGGACTCCAATGCTGCAGTGGGCACGCAAACATCAGCGGCCATTGGCCCCCAACACGCGGAGCAAGTCAACACGGCTGGCTCCTTTTTCCATCGATTCCTACTTGCATCTAATCTTTGGCTGCCGGCCACCTTTGTGCCACACCCTCTGGGAGCGGGCACATGGATCGCGCCAGCACGTGACCCCGCCTTCAAACAGCACTGGAAGCGCAGGGACTACATAGCTATACCCATAGGCGCCTCTGCCAATGAATGCGAAGTCAAGTACTCTCTTACTTTAGCACTCGCAGTACTAGACCACGCTGCCCCGTGCTTATCATGCCGTTTCAAGTTACAGCTTCGACCAAACGAGGACCAGGGACGCCAGGTCATGCGTATTCCGCACGATCCTACAGCATACCTCGACCCGACGGCCAGACAGCTTTTTGAAGACACTTTCTCGCCTCCCCCTGAAGCTTTAACTTTCGACTTGCACGCCTCCGACCACGCGCTCATCCTTGACAGGGAGGCGCGCAATGCCATGCTACAGGCATTTCCCCAACCCCGCACGGCTACAGGTCGCGCACCTTCCAATTCCCGCATCTCCATGGCCACCCTCATGCTTATGGATGCCAGAGCTTTAACTATCAGCCAAGCCAACACGCTTCAACATGAAGCAAGCAACCTTTTCTTGCTGGCAGCTATCGCGGCTTGGAAGCGATATGTGCGAGCCAGGCAAGCATTTACACGTCCTAAAGCGGCCTTGCTACATCACGACGAGCTCTCGCTGATGCCCGCAGTTAATAATGCTTTTGCCAAACTTGCGGAGCTCGGCGCTGCTCTCCGCAGCATGCGTGCCAGCATGGCTGACCCTAATGCCTCCATTAAATGGAAACCCAGGATACGCATGGCCTGCTTGCATCAGTTTTTAGCATCCTCGCCTATACGCGTTGCTAAAACCCGCTTCCCTCATGCTTGCTCTGCGCCTACCATAGGTACCGCATACGCGGCTGCCATTCAATTACGCGCACGCGCAAGCGCCATCAGGGCCATACGGCAGTACGTTGCTCCGTCGACCTGGATGCCGCTTTTCACCTACAAGGCATTGCCGCCGAAGTTCACGAGGCATGGCAGACCTCGCAACAGCGCACTGCCTTTGCGCGCTTACGTACGCTGGGCGTGGGTTCTAAAAAGAAGCTACGCTCCTCTCCCCTACCTATCCTCTCCACGGCAGCGGGCACCTTCGTGGTAGACGCCACCCAAGCGGCCGACACGTGGTTATCCCATTTTGCTCGACAGGAGCATGGTGCAGTTATCCCGCTCAAACATGTCAAGGCCTACGACGCTAGTGCATCGTATCTGCCTGCTGACCTTACTGTGGATGTTCCCCCTCCATACTCCCTCTTCTCCCTAGCGCAAATCGAACGCGCCTATGCCAGGACCCCAGACTCGGCAGCCAGCGTGGATGGCTTCAAAGGAGCCTTTGTCAAGTCGTTTCACCGTCTACTAGCGAAGCAGTACTACCCGGTCCACCTCAAGGCGCAGGTGCGCCTTGAGGAACCGCTGGCTTGGCGGGGAGGGTACAACTTCGACATTTTTAAAGGCAAAGGCAATCCGGCCATAATGGCCAACTCTCGCTCGGTAATGGCCTCCCCCCACTTCTCCAAGCGGCATCGTGCCCTATTGCGCAAAGAACTGGTGGAATATCTTCCTCCCATGGCAGGCGCCTCCCAGTCTGGTGGCATCGCTGGACGGGGCGCAGATTTCGCCACGCTCTCGGTCTTAGCGCACCAAGCCTACGCAAATAGCCAGCGCATTTCCTCAGCGTACATATTTATAGATGCTGTCTCAGCCTTTTACAGGGCCCTCCGACAGCTTATATTTTACTGCGACTCGCAACAAGCTGACCTCTACTACTTAGTTGCTTCCCTTGATCTCCCCCAGGAGACAGGTGAAGAACTAATGAGACATTTGCTCTCTGCCCCTCCTATACTGCAGGAGGCTGGTCTCCCCCCGCATCTCCATGCACAAATCTCGGCTGCATACGAGCATACCTGGGCCTTCTACCCAGGCGCCTCAGGGGTAGCACTCACATTACGCGGCACCATCCCAGGACAGCAGCTCGGAGACGTTCTTTTCAACTTCCTCATGGCCCGAGCCAATAACGAAGCTGTCAAGCAGCTCACCGAATCACCGCTTCGACACCTTATTCTCAATGTCCAGGTGGACAAAGCTGCCCCGCGCTCATTTTTCGCTCATCACAAGGACAACATAGCCTCCGCAGAGACAGATGTGCACCAATATCTGGACTCGTGCTTTTTCGATGATGGTGCCTATGCCTTCCTTGGTTCCACTAAGGAGCTCTTTGACGCCATGCCCGTGCTAATGGCCATCATAGTCGAAGCCTACGCGCTCTCAGGTATCAAGCTAAATTTTCAAGTCAACAAAACCATGTGCCTTTTTCAGTTTAGAGGGGAAGCTTCCATATCCCTTCGTCGCAAGCTCTGGGACCCCCAAGGGCTCAATGGGCACATGCTAGTCTCACCTACTCTCGGGCATTCGCCTTTTTCCCTCCACTTCGCCAGAATATACACATATCTAGGTACGCACCTGGACGAAAAGGGCAGTATAGGCCCCGAGCTCGCCCACAGGCGATCGGAGGCGGCCCCCAGCTGGCGCAATCTTGCCCGTCAATTCTTGCGCCACTCTTCTAGTACGTGGCTTCATGAGCACCTGCATTTACTGGACTCCCTCATCCTCTCCCCCCGCCTTTTCAATGCCGCTGCTTGGCCATTGCTCACTGGACCGCAAATAGTCTCCTTACAAGGAGAGTTCATGAGAATGTACAGGCGCTTGCTCCACCTCCCAAGGTGCGACAGCACGGCAGAGCGGGACTCATTTGTCCTGGCCAAGGTCTGCAGACCCCCTCTACCGCATATCTTTAGTGCAATGCGTCTGCGCCTCTTCGGCAGGCCCCTCCGCACGGGACCTCCGCACCTCACCTCCCTGCTGGCCAAGTTAGCCGCAGACGTCCCAGACTCATGGCTTGCCCTGGTGCAGAAGGACCTACAGTGGCTGGGCGAATTTTCTGCCAACCTAGCTCAAATGCCCTCGCCAATGACGCACCTGGACCAGTGGGAGGCCCTCGCTCTCCAATCCCACACAGGATGGAAGCGTCGAATTCGCAATGCCCTTACAGCGGGAGCACAGCATTTCGCTCGCGCAGCACTCGCCGAGGCAGCTGCCAAGCACTTTTTTGCCATTACCGTCCCATGTGGGATCCCCCTGCCGACGGACCATGTACAGCACCCGATCGAGCAGCAGCGCCTGGCAGCGCACTACCCAGCGGTGCTCACCTGCCCATGGTGCCCGCGCACATTTTTAAAATTGCGGGGGCTAAAACAACACGTTGCCCAGGTGCACTGGACCTTGTCCCACGGGGTCAAAGGCCTAGTACCGGACACCCAGGTGTGCCCGGCCTGCAGTCTCCCCTTTGGCTCACGCGCCAGTCTCATGCAGCACCTTTGTTTCGACTCTTTCATATGTGCTCTCTACCTCCTCTGCCATTCCCAACGCCTTCCCCAGGAGCAAATCGCCGCGCTTGCTATGCAACGCTGCGAAAATGCCAAACTACAAGTGAAGTCAGGCGTAGGCCGCTGGCGTGTTGCATTACCGGCACATCGTGCCAAGCGTGCAACCACCCAGCACTTTCGTGACTTTGCCAAACACCTGTCGCAAGCGGACGCTCGCGCCATAATGGCGGTTACCGACTACGCGCTGGACTCTGCAGCCGTCTCTTTACTTTTTCCCGCCGATGTTCCTCCGCCACGACCTCCTCCTCTTCCTGCGCTGCCTGAATGGCCATTTCAACCGAAGGAATATTCTGGTCTAGCGACCAGCGAAATTCCAGCCCGTATCAG